TTCCTCAAAACACTACAAATGGAACTCCCATTTGACCCTGTGATCCCACTTCTAGGAATATATCCCAAGAAACCAGAAACACCAATCAGAAAGGATATATGCACCCATATGTTCACAGCAGCACAATTCAAAATAGCTAAGATCTGTAAACAGCCTAAGTGCCCATCAGTAGGTGAATGGATTAGAAAACTGTGGTGCATCTACATGATGGAATACTATGCTGCTGTAAAAACGAAGGAACTCTTACCAATTGCAACAGCATGGATGGAACTGGAGAGCATTATGCTAAGTGAAATAAGCCAGTCAATGAAGGAAAAATACCACATGATCTCACTCATTTATGGATAATAAAGACCATTATAAACTTATGAACAAAAATAGATACAGAGGCAGAGCTGCCTCGAACAGACTGTCAAACTACAGCGGGAAGGCCGGGAGGGTTGGGGGGCAAGAGGAGGGGGGTAAGAGATCAACCAAAGGACTTGTATGCATGCATATAAGCATAACCAATGGACATCAGACACTGGGGGTTAGGGGAGGCCAGGGGATTGTCAAGAGCGGGGGGGGGGGGGGGGGCAGGGAAAGGAGTCATATGTAATACTCTTTGTAATACTTTAAGCAATAAAATAAATAAATAAATAAATAAATAAATAAATAAATAAATAAAAAAACTGTGGTACATCTACACAATGGAATACTACACTGCTGTAAAAAAAGAAGGAAGTCTTATCATTAGCAACAGCATGGATGGACCTGGAGAGCATTATGCTAAGCAAGATAAGCAGTTGGAGAAAGATAAATATCACATGAACTCACTCATTTGTGGAATATAATGAACAACATAAACTGATGAACAAAAATAGAGCCAAAGGAAAACAAAATTTAGAACATAATAGAAGTAATCCTGTTATTTGAAGATTTTTAATATTTCCTACAACTTTTGTGATATTATACTATTTTAGGACAGTTTTGGCAACATTATCGTATTTAAAATCCTTTTTTCTTGAAATATTAATGTTTATTGCTTGTAAATGACTAATTATTTTGTATCTACAATCTGGTAATAGCTTTATTTTGTATATTGAAAAAATAATAGTAATTAAAAAATATGCAATACAATGTCATTGACTATAGTCATGATGCTGTACATTATATTCCTATGACTTATTTATTTTATAATTGGAAATTTGTACTTTTGACCCCTTTTACCTATTTGCCCACCTGCCTCTGGCAACCACCAATCTGTTCCCTATATCTACTAGTTTTATTTTATTTGCTTATTTATTTTGGTTTTTAGATTCTACATGTAAGTGAAGCTACATGATATTTATTTTCCTTTGTTTGACTTCTTTCACTTAACATGATAGCCTCAAGTTTCTTGGCTCTTGTAAGTAATGTTTCAATGAACATAAGAGTGCACATATCTTTTCAAAGTGGTGGTTTTGTTTTCTTCAGATAAATACTGGCAAGTGGAATTGCTGGATCATGTAGTAATTCTATTTTTAATTATAACAAGGAACCTTTATACTATTTTCCAGTGTGGCTCTACCAATTTATATTCCCACCAACAGTGTATGAGGGTTTCCTTTTACCCATTTCTTCACCCACATTTGTCATTTTTTATCTTTTTGATCATAGCTATCTAAGAGGTGTGAAGTGGTAGCTTATTGTGCTTTTGATTTGTATTTCCCTGATGATTAGTGATGTTGAGCATTTTCTAATGTTTGTTGGCCATCTATATGTCTTATTTAGAAAACTGTTTATTCAGATCCTCTCCCCATTTTTAAATTGGATGTTTTTTTGTTAAGTTGTATAAGTTCTTTATATATTTTGGTTATTAAGCCCTTGCTAAATAAGTGTTTGCAAATATTTTCTCCCATTTAGTAGGTTGCCTTTTCATTTTGTTGATGGTTTTCTTCACTGTGTAGAAGATTTTTAGTTTCCTGGAGTCCCACTTGTTTACTTTTACTTTTGTTTCCATTGCCTTTGGAGTCAGGTACAAAAAATTATTGTTGAGACTGATGTCAAGGAGCTTATCGCCCATGTTTTCTTCTAAGAGTTTTATGGTGGCAGGTGTTACATTCAAGTCTGCAATTCATTTTGAAGTAAATTTTGTGCATGGTGTAAGATTGTTGCCTAATTTCATATTTCTTTTTTGGCATGTGGCTCTACAGTTTTCCCAACATCATTTATTGAAGATACTGTTCTTTCCCCACTGTATATTCTTACCCCTGCTGTCATAAATTAATGATATATGTGAGGCTTTATTTCTGGACTCTCTATTCTGTTCCATTGACCTATGTATCTGTTTTTATTCCAATACCATTCTATTGTGATTATTGGAGCTCTGTAATATAGTTTAAAATCAGGAATCATGATGTCTTCAGCTTTTTCTTTTTTCTGAAAATTATTTTGGCTACTTGGGATCTTTTGCAGTTCCATACAAATTTTAGGATTGTTTTTCCTATTTCTATGAAAATGCTATCGGAATTTCATTAGGGATTGCATTGAATCTATATATTTTATTGGGTAATATGGACATTTTAACAATATTATTCCAAGCTATGAGGACAAAATACTATTCCATTTATTTGTGTCTTCTTCAACTTCTTTCATCTCTGTCTTGGGGTTTTCAGTAAACAGATTTTTACCTCCTTGTTTAAGCTTATTTCTAGGTATTTAAAAAAATTTTTTGATGCAATTGTAAATAGGATTGTTTTCTTAATTTCCCTTTCTGACAGTTTGCTATTAGTATGTGAAAATGCAACAGATTTTTGTATATTTTTTTATTCTGCAGCTGTACTGAATTTGTTTACTGGTTCTCTTTTTAAATAGCATCCTTAGGATTTTTTATAAAAAACAATATCATCACAAGTAGCAACAGTTTGACTTATTCTTTTGTAAATTGGATGACTTTTATTTCTTTTTCTTACCAAATTACTCTGGCTGGGACTTTCAATACTATGTGCATAAAAGTCTTGTCTTGTTCCTAAGGAAAAGTTTTTAGCTTTTCATAGTAAGTATAAAGTAGGCTGTGAGCTTGCCATATATGGCTTTTATTATTTTGAGTTACATTCTCTCTATATATATTTTGTTGAGCATGGGGCACGGGTACAGTGTTTTGGCTAGGTTCAAGCCTCAGACTAATGAAAGGACAGGGTCCTCTCATTGCCACGTGCAAGTCCCAGCTGGAAGGACAGAGCCCTCCCAGCACAATCATAGCCAATGGCTGTGGTTATAAGCTTGAACCTGTGGTCCAAATATGTAGCCCCACGTGCCTGTGTGATAGAGTTCAGGTGCATATAGTTGAGTGAGGTTAGAATTCATGAGAATGCTGTAAACAACGTGATCACACCTTTGCTTTGCCTCGTGACATCTGCTATAAAATAAAGACATGGCTCACGGGCACTGGCGCTGTCTCCTCATTAGGGTGAAGTGTCCCACTGAGACCCAGCTTTCATTCTCTTGTCTGTCTTTTATTAATCCTTTCACCCCCCCACTCAGGATCATTGAACCAGGCTGACCTGGCATGGCACATAAGGCGCCCTGGGGCTGAGTATGTCATGGCTGTGCCGGCTCCCCACAGTTGAGAGTTTTTTATTATAAGTTGCTGTTAAATTTTATCAAATTCTTTTCTGCATGTACTATGATAATTATATGATTTTTATATTTCTTTTTGTTAATTTGGTGTATAACAATTGATTTGAGGATGTTGAACGATCGGCATGCCTGGAATAAATCCTAATTAACCATGGTGCATGATCCTTTTCATGTACTGTTGAATATAGTTCCCTAATATTTTGTTGACAGTTTTTGTATCTATGTTTATAAAGGAATGGTATACCATAATTTTGTGTGTGTGTGTGTGTGTGTGTGTGTGTGTGTGGTATCCTTCTCTGGTTTTGGTTATCAGGGTAGTAATGGCTTCATAGAGTTAGTCTGGAAGTGTTCACTACTCTTCAATTTTTGAAAAATTTTGAGAAGGATAGTTATTAAAACATTTTTAATGTTTAGTAGAATTCATCAGTAAAGTCTTTTAACTAAGGACTTTTGTATGTCACAGTAATATTTGCAGAATATGAAATCAATATATAGATATTGCATTTCTATACATTAATAACAAAACATCTGAAAAAATAAAGTAAGCCATCCAATTTACAAAATTATCAAAAACAATAAAATATCCAGGAATAAATTTAACCAAGGAGTGAATGATATGTACAATGAAAACTACAAGACCTTGTTGAAAGAAGTTAAAGAAGACAAAAACAAATAAAAAACTATCCCAAGTTCAGAAAAATGAACAGTGTGGAAATGTCCATTCTACACAAAGCCATTGATAGATTCAATGAAATCCTTATCAAAATTTCAATGGTATTTTTTACAGAAATAGAAAAAAATAATCTTCAAATTCATAGGGAACTTCAAAGGACTCTACACAGCCAATGAATTATGAGAGAAAAAAGCCAAGTCATTACAATATCTGATATAAAATAATACCATTAAGCAATAGTAATTAAAACAGTGTGAAACTGGCATGAAAAGAGACTCATAAATCAATGAAGAGAATAGAGAGACCAGAAATAAAACCCTGCTTACAGTTAACTAATATTTATAAGGGAGCCAAGGATAGTCAATGGGTAGTCTCTTTAACAAATGGTTGGGAAAACTGGATAACCACATGCAGAAAAATAAAACTGAACCTTTATCTTACAACACAAAAATTAACTCTAAGTGAATTAATAACTTAACCCCAAGATCGATACCTTAAGACTCCCAGAAGAAAATACAGGGATGAAGTTCTTTGACACTGGTCTGGAGAATGATATTTTGAATATAACAACAAAAGTACAAGCAATAAAAGCAAAAATTAGCAATTGGTACTACATCACATTTAAAAGTCTCTGCATAGCAAAAATGAAAAGACAACCTATGGAATCGAAGAAAAGAATGGGAAACCATATATCAGATAACAGGTTAATAAATTTTAAAACACTCACAATTCAATAAGAAAAACTCCATCAATCTGATTTGAAAATGGGCAGAGGATCTGAATAGGTGTTCTTTCAGATAGAGATCTAAATGGCCAATGGGTACATAAAAAGATACTCATCATCATTAATCATCAGGGAAATGCAAATCAAAACCATAATGAGATACCACCTTACACCTGTTAGAAGGGCTATTATCAAGACAAAAGATAACAGGGTTTGACAAGGATGTGGTGATAAGGGAAGACTGTTGGTGGGAATGTAAATTGGTTTAGAAACTATTAAAACATGGAGTTTTCTAAAAATAGAAGCCCCAGCTAGTTTTGCTTAGTGATTAGAAGTGTCTCTGATTTGATTCCCAGTCCAGGCACGTACCTTGGTTGAAGGTTCAATACCCAGCACTGGTCAGGACTCAAGTAAGAGGCAACCAATCAATGTGTCTTTAACACATTGATGTTTCTCTCTCTCTCTCTCTCTCTCTCTCTCTCTCTCTCTCTCTCTCTCCCGGACACTCTCTCTAAAAAACAATAGAAAAAATATCCTCACTCCTTGGGTGAGAATTAAAAATAAAGAACTATCATATTACCCATTAATTCCACTTCTGAGTATATATTCAAAGGAAATAAAAATAGGATAGTGAAGAAATATATGCACCTCATGTTACACTAACCATAACAACCAAGATATGGAAACAACCTGTGTCTGTCAATCGATGAATGGATAAAGAAGTTTATCCATTATTCTATCATGAGAAAGAAGTAAAATTATGTCATTGCAACATGGATGGATTTTGAAGGTATTATGCTAAGTGAGATAAGTCAGACAGAGAAAGACAAATACTATATAATATTATTAATATGTTTAATATAAAAAATCCAAACCCATACAACAGAAAATAGAATGCTGGTTATCAGAGGATGGGGCATGGGGGAATTGGAGAGATATTGTTTAAGGGACCAATCTTGCAACTACTAGATAAATAAGTCCTGGAGATCTAATACACATTATAATTATTAGAGTAAACAATATTTTATTATAATGATCAAAGTTTCTAAGATACTAGATCTTAATTGTTCCTACCACACACACACAAAGATAATTATGTAATGTGAGAGAGCTGTCAACTAATGCTAAAGTGGCAATTATATAGCAATATTTAAATGTATCAAATCAACATGTTGTACACCTTAAATTTATATAATGTTATATGTCAACTATATGTCAAAAAATTGTAGGAATATAGGAGTATTGAGAATTAATTAACTTTGTACAAGGCCCCAGATGCAGAAGTTATAAACCTGAAATATCAAAACTGTTAAAGTGGGAAGAAGAGCAGAGATTCTTCAGAAAAGAACAGACATCTACATAGACAAAAATCATCAGTAAATTTTCTAAGCTAAGTCAAAGCCTTTACCTTCCAAATTGATGGAGTGAGAGAGTACTGAAGGGGTATCAGTCATGGTGGGTTTCAAAGGATCAAGGTAAAAGAAGTGGTAACTGTCCCAGTACCTCCAACAGATCCCTTGAATTAAACTAACACATAGCCAGTTCCCTAAGTTTTACTAATAGGAATATGGCTTCTAGAATCAAACATATTAAGACTTGGACAGCTCCCCCCCCCCCCCCCCAGTGAACTAATAGTTAATGCACTAGAAATTAAAGGAGAAACCATTGGACTGCTATTTTTCACATGCCATTTACCTTTATTTCTTGGCTGGTAACACAAAAAGTAAACATATCTGACAAATAGCATCACAGCAATGATTATGCAAGGTGCTACCGGTACTTTCCAATAAATATTGTCTGGGAGCAAATCATCTGAAACAGAAATCACAAAGATTCAATTAGGAAAGCAAAAATCAGAGTGTTCAGTGAACTAGAAAGAGATACTATATAGTAAAAAACATGCTATTTCACACATTGGTCTTCCTGCATCGCTAGGGATAGGCCAGGCTTGGAATATGTGCAATGAGGCAAAGAGTAGGGCTGGTGTCATTTGACTTAATATGATATTAGAGCTGAAAAAGCTATCTCTTACAAAATTTCCTCCACCGTTCTATTACAAACTGCCACATTAGAGAGCAACAGAATATCATACCTCTGTATAGGATCTGAGTGGCTTAATGTCCTAAGTTAACTTTGTTCTCCCAAACGTAATGTTTAGTGAGAAAAAAAACAACAACAATATAAATTACTTTTCTGTGAAAACTATTAGTTCTGTAGAAAAACTAATGATGGTTCACATTTTTGTATCTACCTTCATGGGGGAAATTTGACATGCATTTTTAAATAATGTTCTTTCAGGATTTTTTAATCAGAGTTTTGCTAGCCCAATCCAGAGATTGCTGCTAATGTCTGGAGAAAAAAATTAGTAAAAGAGCAGTGTCTTGCAATTCCAGAATCACAGGAAAACTATATCTTCAGTTTTCTAACTTTGACCCTTTTAAGAAATACCCTCCAAAGAACCATTACAGTGCTTATTTGAACATTATGCCAAGTGAAATAAGCCAGTTAGAGAAAGACAAGTACATATGATTTCACTCATATGTGGAATTTATTGAACAAATTGAACTACCAAGCAAAATAGAGATAGACTCATAGATAGAGAGCAGGCAGACAGCTCTGGTTGAGAGGGTGGTGTTGGGGGGTGAGGGTGGAGGGATTAAGAAGAGAGAGAGAGAGAGAGAGAGAGAGAGAGAGAGAGAGAGAGAGAGAGAGAGAGAGAAAATTATGGACATGGACAATAGTGTGGTGAGTGTGGTGATTGCGGTTGTGGGTGTGGGTGGAGATGGAAGAGGGCATAGAGGGGATAAATGATGATGGAAAAAATAAAATAAGAAAGAGGGAGAGAAAAAAGAAATACCTCCATAGAACCATTAAAGTGCTAATTTGAACAACTCCACTAAAGATTATTCAGGGTTCTAAAAGAGGTATTCTCAAAAAAATTAAAGAAAGAAAGTTGAACTTGTAATATGACCACACATCTACACAGTAGCTAATTTGGCCTTATGCATCTTTACTGGGGGGAAAATACTTGAGCTAGAATAATCTAGCTTTACAACAAAGGAATATAAGAAAGGAATCTTAAGATATAAGGAACAAAAGAAATAATTTGAGTGAAATGAAAGTTTAAACTATGATTTAAATTTTGGTATCATTAGAGGGTCCTGAAACCAATCCCCTTCATACTGAGGAAAAACTATAATTGTGAGCAATCTTGTGATGTCTTAATTCCATATTTTTATGTCACTATTTGTGAGGTAAATTCTAAAGAAACGGGTGTTTAATTACATTACTTATGATTATAACATTACTTAATGTAAGAATAAAATAATAAAACAAAAATAGAATAACAAGGGATAAAGAGAGCTAGCAAAAGTAAGAAAAGTCTCATTTTTTAAAAAAAAGACAAAGGTATTACTTAAAAAGGGAAATTATGAAATTTATATAGACACATTTAATTAAATCTATGTAATTAACTAGAAAAACTAAAAACCAGAATGCTCAGAAGTTATTTTATTTAATTAGTGAGGTGTGTGGGATAAAAAGATTTATAATTTTCATTTGGTATCTTTCTATGTTCTTTGAGATTGTCTTTTCGCCATCATATATTATAAGAGCAACATGTTATTATTGCATTAATATGCACTTCATTAATACACTTTGAAAGTTAGTTTTTCTGTAAAATTATAAATTTTTATACTTTTCAAAGTCTTTAAAGCTAAATATAACATCCTCTGGCTTTGCATTTAATCCCATAAATTTAATAATCCTATTTTACACATTTACAGTAAATTAGCATTTGGCAAGCAGTTCTAACTATAATAATTTATTTTGTTCCAAATTATTTTATAGTCATTTTATTTATTTACTTTTTAAAATTTATCTTTGTTGTTGAAAATATTAAATATGTTCCCTTGTATCTTCCTGTTGACCCCCTCCACTCTACACCACCCCTTCCACGCCTTCACCACACTATTGCGTGTGTCCATGGGCTATGCATATATGCATATAAGTCCTCTCCCCCCACCTCCCTTCCTCTTTAATCTCTCTTCACCCACCACATCACTCCCACCTTTCCTCTGAGATTTGTACAGATTATTAATTATGACAATAACCATCAATGAATCTATTCCCAATACTCACCTTCTAGTTTAATATTTGTCCGCTTCTTTTGGCCAGTAATTGGATTCTGAAGGTTACATGTAACACCTCTTTTGGAGTTGTCATTGAGGATAAGAGTAGTGCTTATGTGGAATAACTTGGATTGATCTTGTGAGTAGGATTCTGATGAAGGTGGAATTATTTGTCCGCTGCTATCTATCCATTGTATCTGAGGTTTAGGAAACCATCCTCCTGAATTACACTCCACTATTATATCACTGCTTGTAACATTTACATTAAACTGCATCTCCAAGCCTACAGCTAGTGGATGATTAAAAAAAAAAAAAAAAAAAAAAAAAAAAGCAGGGAGTTATGCTGGAAGGATGGCAAGTAAAGAGAAAAAGACATAAGATGCCTTATCTATAATAATAAAAGTGTAATATGCTAATTAGACCAGGTGTCCTTCTGGACTTCCTTCAGGATGAAGCTGGGGCTACAAGGGAAGCCCAGGTCCTGGGTGCCAGAGGGAGGCCAGTACTGGCAGCTGGGGGAAGGAAGGCCTACTCTTGCACAAATTTCGTGCATTGGGCTTCTAGTATGTTTATAATTGCATAGCTAGACTGAAGTATCAATTACTGCAAGAAGATTAAAAAATTGGAGTCAAGATTGGCACCCAGCATTTGCAAATAGTGGTACCATTTACAGAAATGGGGAAGTGTTGCTGAGTTAATACTATAGGCTCAGAAAAGACCATCCCTCTCCTAAACATAATAAAGTTCACAATAAATTTGAGAAAGATCTATAAAGTTCATTCAAAAAACTTTAGCTTGCCTTTCTTACTATACAAACACCCTGGAAATCAACACAAAATAAAAACAACCAAACAAAATAAAACCATACAATAAACAAACAAACATAAAAAACAATAAAGTGTGGTGTTTATTTTCAAAAGTTCCTGGCACAAAGGTTTCAATAAATTCTGAAAAAAATAGTGGTTAGAGATTTTAAAGTGCTTTAGCTTCTAGTTGAAGTATCCTTTTTTCTCCTAAAGCACTTAACTATCCATGTATGTAACTTATACTGCTATTTTCCCAATAAATTGTTCTGAATGAATGTATAATTACTTCCCAAACTTAATTATGAGCAGTGCAAAGGGTAAAATTACAATAATTCTAAGGCCTGAAATTTGGGTACTTTTAACAGATCTGGCTCTATGATTTAAATTAATCTCTCTCTCTCTCTCTCTCTCTCTCTCTCTCTCTCTCTCTATATATATATATATATATATATATATATACATATGTATATATATATATGTATATATATATATATGTATATATATATATATATATTTATATATATATATATATATATATATATAAGCTTAAGGAACCCTTACGACCAAATAACCTGAATGACCGGAACAACTGGTTGAGGAGTTGCTAAGGCACACTGACAACCAGGGGGGCAGATGCTCAACGCAGGAGTTGCCCCCTGGTGGTCAGTTGCTCCCACAGCGGAAGTGCTGCTCAGCTGACCGACCCATCCTGTATATTGTATTGTGTTCACCACCCCAAGTCAATTCTCTTTTAATCACCATTTATACCCCCTTTACCTTCTTCTACTTCCCCTCAGCCCCCACTCTTCCCTCTGGCAATCACCATACTGTTGTCTGGGTACATGAATCATTCTTCTTTTTTTTTTTGCTTAAGCCCTTCACCCTTCTCCCCTGACAGCTGTCAGTCTGTTCTTAGTATCCATGAGTATTTGGAACTCATTAAATATTTGAACTAATTAGTTGTTGCTCAAATTTGTGAGGGCAAATATTAGCAGCTGAGACTAGAGGTTTAGCTATAATCACATCATAGAAGGAGGGCTTTCAGTTTTAGGATAAGATTATTATAATAATTTTTAGGAGATAGGAAACTATTGAAAGTTTCAGGAAAACAGAAATACCCTAATTTATATTTGGCTTTAGGAAAATCAAATTTTATAATATTTTACTAACAACTATATGAGCAAAATATTTTAATATTAAAAATGATTGATAACTAGAGAAATCTGGATAAAGGAATATAGAATACCCTATAATATGTTTGCAAATTTTCTGTAAATCTAAAGTCACTCCTAAATAAAAAGCTTTTAAAAAGTATTAGGGTGGATTTTATCAATGTTAATTTCCTTATTGTGATATAATAAAATAGTTATTTATTTGAGATTGATAGGAAAAGTGACAGGACCTGAAGAATTTATTATCTGTCTTTTTCTCTTGCTACTCTCCTTTATTTTCCCAGACTAATGGTGATTGTATCTTGGAACAATAATAATCAAAGCAGATAACTTGGAAAAATCAGGGGGTCAGGGGGGAATCATAGCATTGCCTAAAAGTCCAACCTCAGATTACCTCAGGGTCATGAATAACAAGTCATCAGAAGCAAACTTTTACCTGCTATTTTTATCTCCACAATGGCTTCTTCAGAGAAGTCACTATCTTTAAACAAACAATGATACTCCCCAGAATCAGAAGCGACAACATTTTCAATTCTGAGAGTCACATTGCCTTCCCCAATGGACTCTTTCAGCAATTTCGTCCGTTCCACATAATCTTTAATAATTTCTCCATAAAAATCTCTGCCATCTTGGTATAAATACACAGGCTGAGTGTAGCGGTTCCGGAACCAGCGCACCTCCATGTGTGCTGCACTTTGTGGTGGTGAAAGATGACAGTGGATCTCAACATGTCCACCCAACGGGGCCACCAAAGGCTCTACTGTGCCATGGACAATGAACTGTGCTGTGAGAGAGAGAGAGAGAGAGAGAGAGAGAGAGAGAGAGAGAGATCAAAGCATGAAATTAAAATAGAATTACTTGTTACTAATGTTATACAATGAAATATTATTTTATTAAATACAAAAAATACAGAAAATGTGTATGTGTATATATGAAATCTTATCTAATAAGAGAGAAACATGCAAATGGACCATACCTCTACTACACTCACAAGCCACACCCATCAGCCAATCAGGAGTGAGTATGCAAATAAACCTAACCAAGATGGCAGCAGCCACGGAGCTGGAACAAACAGGCTTGGGTTGCCCCTGGCGATGGAGGAAGCCAAGCTTCCCGCCTGCCCTGGCTGGCTGTGGGCTCCGCTCAAGGCTACAAAGTTTTAATTATAGAAGATAAATAAATCCCAGATACCTGCTTCCAGCTACTGTGGCCTCCACTCAAGGAGAGTCTGGGAGCCTGGGTTGCCCAGGGCCGTGGCCAGCCTGCAAACAGCCCTCAGCCCCTCACCCAGGCTGGCCAGGCACCCCAGCAGGGACCCCCCACCCAGATCCAGGACACCCTTCAGAGCAAACCAGCCGGCCCCCCCCCAAGCACTAGACCTCTATGTATACTAATAAAAGGGTAATATGCTAATTAGACTGGGAGACCTTCAAGGAGACCTTCTGGACGTTCTTCTGGACAAAGTCATGGTAGCAGGGCCTAGGTAGAGGTGGTTAGAGGCCAAGAGGGGAGGGCAGTTGTGGGTGATCAGGCTGGTGGGGGGCGGGGCCGTTGGGGGTAAGAAGACCAAAAGGGAGGCCAGTTGGGGGCAAGCAGGCCATCAGTGAGGGTCAGTTGGAGGTGATCAGGACAGTGAGAGGGGGCAGTTTGGAGTGAGCAGGTCAACAAGGGGGCAGTTAGGGGTGAGCAGGCCAGTGGGGAGGGAAGGTGGGAGCAAGCAGGCCAGCAGGGGGGCAGTTGGTGATCAGGCTGGCAGCGGGGGCAGTTGGGGGTGAGCAGGCTGGCAGGCAGAGTGGTTAGGGGCAATCAGGCAGGCAGGCAGGCAGGCAGGCAGACAGGTGAGGGGTTAGAAGCCAGCAGTCCTGGATTGCGAGAGGGATGTCTGACTGCCAGTTTCGGCCCAATCCCTGTAAACTGGCAGTAGGACATTCTTCAAGGGGTCCCAGAATGGAGAGGGTGCAGGCCAGGCTGAGGAACACATCCTCCCCCGTGCACGAATTTCATGCACCAGGCCACTAGTCTGTATATAAAATTATTTGTCAATTTTTTAAAAAAAGCTGAGTCAGAGATAGAATTCCCAGTAGAATCTGACTTTCTCACTTGACATTTTTCTGAGATTCCATTACTATCCAAGACCTATTCCAACCAAGTTAATTTTCTTTAAAGAAATTAATAACTTTAGACTCTATAATAAGCTATAGTAGCAAAATACATTTCTCTTTTTCCTTCTTGGGAGCAATTGCACCTTTGTTAGGGATGTTTTTTCTTACCCTATGTGGTTCCAGTTAGGTGAATGACTACAGTGCTACTCTCCCTCTCCCTAGAGTCAATATGTGGTCCAGGTCCGAATAGTCACAATGCTACATGTATCTGGAAACTTTAATTATGTGCCAAGTGGCAAGAATCTAAAACCCTAAGAATAAAAGCAGATACTTCCTTTTCTTTTGCTTGTTTAGCAATTTTGCAAGACAAAGCTTAGAATTTGGAACTCTCAGGAATGGAACTCTCCAGAATAATTATGGTCTCACTTGAAAGTTTTGAAGAACCAAGGATAAACCAGATTTAGAATGAGTCACCCTGAAGCTAAAACCCAGACCCCAAATAAACCCACCTCTGATTGGATAAGACAATTACTCAATAGTCTATCTGCCTAGCAGAGGAAAGGATAAACCATCTTTTTTGCTTCCTCTTAAGACTGAACATAATATTTTTATTAACAATTTCCAAGATTCAAATAAAAATTACCATAAGTGCTAAAAGATAAAAATTTCAAAAGTAAAAGTTAAAATACATAATACATACAACCCCGTAATTGATTAGTGTTGATAGTGTTTTTAATTTCTTTAAAGTTCTATTTTGTATTGATTGTTGCCAACATTATTGCAGATGTGTTCTTTTTTATATTTTCTTGAACATATTTATAATTAATTATAGATATTATCATTTATTTTTTTCCTGGTGTAGATGGTATTGTCAATTTTTGTCACTTACCTACAATATCTAAACAAATATGGAATGTTTAATATTGTATATGTTAATTTTTGGCAAGTAATTCCTGTCTTTTGGCATTTCTGGTAATAACAGCCCATGTGCCCTTCAGTAGATGAGTGGATAGAAAAGCTGTGGCACTTTTACACAAAGGAATACAATGTAGCCATTAAAAAAATGACTAACCAGTTTGGCTCAGTGGATAGAGTGTCGGCCTGTGGGCTCAAGGGTCCCAGGTTCGATTCTGGTCAAGGGCATGTACCTTGGTTGCAGGCACATCTCCAGTAGAAGGTGTGCAGGAGGCAGCTGATCATTGCTTCTCTCTCTCATCGATGTTTCTAACTTCTCTATCCCACTCCCTTCCTCTCTGGAAAAAATATCAATAAAATATATTTTTTTTTAAAAAAAGGAACGCTTACCTTTTGCGACAGCATGGATGGACCTGGAGATTTTTATGCTAAGTGAAATAAGCCAGTCATTGAAAAACAAATATTATATGGTCTCACCTATATGTGGAATCGAATGATCAAAATAGAATAGACTGCCAGCAATCAGAGCAGAGGTGGGAGGAGGAGACTGGAGGAAAGAAGGTGAAGGGATTAGCCAAAGAACATATGCATATGCATAATCCATACACACAGACAAAAGTGTGGTGTTGCCTAGAGGGAAGTGGTGGTCAGGTGCAGGGGGATGGAAAGGGCTGGGTGAAAGTGGGCAGGGGAGAATGGAAATGGGGACATCTGTAATAATATAATTAATAAAAATAAAGTTAAAAATTAGAACCAAATCTTAGTGGAGGTAAAAGAGAATAATTAAAAATATTCAATTAATCAAAAGGAAAACAGAAAGAATATAAATACCAAGAAGAAATGGAATAAATACAAAACAGGTAGAAAGATTGAATGTAGACTTTACAGCAACCATGACAATAATGCCATAAAATATAAAGGGATTAGACAAAAAGTTAAATGACAGAGATTATTGGATTAGAAAGAATGCAACACCGGCCTTTGTGGTATCAATCTGCTCCCCTCAAAAAAATACTTCAAATAAAAAGACACTGAAATATTAAAAGTAAAAGTATAGAGAAATATGCCATGAACACAAGAATTGTATGAAAGCTGGAGTGAGGTATTTAATATGAAAAAAGTAGAACTTAAAAGAAAGCACTATCAAGAATAAAGGGGATATATCATAATGACAAAATAGTGCCTTCATAACAAACCTAATGTATTTAATAGATAAAGAAAACTTTAAAATTTATGAAACAAAAACTGATAAAACTGAAAAGAAGAATAAATTCCACAATAATGTCTGAAAATTTTAGCACCCCTATCACAGAAACTGATAGGACATCTATACATAAAATTAATAGGAATACTGAGCACTCAAACAATACTAGCAACCAATTGGCTGAATTGGCATATATAGAATACAATACCCAACAACATCATGTCTAAGAATCATGGAGCATTCCCCAAGATCCGTGGTCGGCAAACTGCGGCTTGCGAGCCACATGCGGCTTTTTGGCCCTTTGAGTGTGGCTCTTCCTAAGCCTTAGGAGTACCCTAATTAAGTTAATAACAATGTACCTACCTATATAGTTTAAGTTTAAAAAATTTGGCTCTCAAAAGAAATTTCAATCATTGTACTGTTGATATTTGGCTCTGTTGACTAATGAGTTTGCCGACCACTGACCAAGATGAACCTTCTGCTAAGTCATAAAACAAGTTTCTTGAGTTTATATGTGATATATTCTGATAATATTATCTTCCTCTGTATAAGATTTACATCCTCCTCTGCTATCAAACAAAATGTTAGCTGATCTATTAAACAATGAATGGGTTAACAATGAGATCAAAAGTTACCTTGAAACAAATTAAAATGAGAACACAACAACCCAAATCTGAGGGACAGCAAAAACAGTCCTAATAGGGATATTTATAGCATTACAGGCCTACCTCAGGAAGCAAGAACTAGAAAAAGAAAACTAACAAACCCCAAGGTGAGTAAAAAAAAGGAAATAAGAAAGATCAGAAATAAATGAAATAGTAAAAAACAAACAAACAATGAAAGACAAATGAAACCAAGAGATAGTTCTTTAAAAAGATAGACAAGACTGACAAAATTTTAACTAGACTAATGAAGAAAAAAAGAGGACCCAAATAATTAAAATCCTAGCTAATAAAGAGGGAATATGCTAATTGACCCTCATGCTGTCCCAAAGATGGTGGCACCTACAGCCAATAAGGAGGGAATATGCTAATTGACTGAACCACCCTCAAAGATGGCAGCGACCAAAGCCAATAAATAGAGAATATACTAATTGACTGCCCCGCCCCCAAAAATGGTGGCACCCACAGCCAATAAGGAGGGAATATGCTAAAAGATGGCACCCACAACCACAAGATGGCTGTGTCCAGTTCCCTCAGCCTTGTAGGGGTGGCAGGCATGCTGCAAAGCTGGGCCCACCCCCAGGCAGGCCCAGCTGCTCCACACACTTGCCTCTGGAGCCCCCCAGTCCGCTCAGCCCCCCAGCCACTCAGGCCAGCCCGAGGCACAGGCAAGCCTTGGATGTCAGCTGCTCAGCCACCCAGGGCTGGCTCAAGGCACAGGCAAGCCTCAGATGGTGGCTGCCCAGCCACCCAGGGCCACCCGAGTCTCAGGTAACCAGGGTCTCCTGAAGCTCAGGTAACCAGGGCCAGCTGAGGCTTGCACTGCCGGCAGTGGCAGCAGCAGAGGTGTGATGGTGTGTTACCTTCCCCTGATTGCTGGGTTGCCTCCTTCCCCTGAGGG